AGCAAAAAAAACTAGCTCTTTTAATAATACCTATATAAAGTCTACTATTCCCTTTATTTAGCTAGCTTCTTAGATTGAATACAAATAGATATTTAGGGGTCTACACATAATGGGAATTACGTTTTCCGTATCTCTCTCAAACCAACAATTTGATTATAGAACATCGGTATATAGCTGAGACTTAAATAGGAATCCTCCAGCTCAAATAGGCCAAGTATAGTTTGAATACTGGCTATGATAAGGCAATTCTTGGATGGTATGGAGTTTATTCTTTCGCGTTTGGATTGGGTAGCTTCTTGAAAGGCGTGTATATACCTCTGGTTCCTGTTTGGCTTATCCCCGCACTCACTGTGCTAAGCCAATTCTGAAATAGGCGATAATGTTAGAAGTAAAGTTTTTCAGGAAGTAGTTAGAATCTGAAACTCACGAAAGCTACGCGCGTTACTAAGCGGTTTATGAATTTGGAGTTTTCTATCACTATAAAACTCTATAATAAGAAAACTAAATTACTATAATAATTAGTACATCGAATATAAAAGTAAAACGAACAGTATTTTTAATATTCTTTCAATCTTTCACTTTATTATATATTCATTCAGTAACTATTAGTAGAAGATTATTTGAAAGATATATAAATCGTTCTAACTTTTACGATTATATAATCATTTAGAGAAGCTGATAATTTCAATGACTTGAAATTATTCTAGTATAATTTGATCTATATTTCTTATCGAGATTAAAGATCAACGTAATATAATAAAAAAGTTATTAAAAAGTTATAAGATGATTGAATTGAAAGAGATACTTATTTAGTATATCTCTAATATAAATAATAAAGAGTTTTGTATTACATTATTAGACTACTATGATTTACTAAGTTGAAGGACTAGTCTTTTTTATATATAAATTATATGTCCCTATATATAGCTAGCTTTTAAGATAGAATATAATATCAATAATTAAAAATTTATATATAAATACTATCATTTATACTCTTTTTATATATACAGATTTAAATTCGGATTAAATGAAATAATAGATATAATACTCTATATGCTCGATCAAATAGAGATGACTAAGATTAAAAAGCGTTAGGCTTATCGTTTCTTGAGATTATATATAGAATAAAAAATATACTTGTATATTTTCTTTAGAGTTTTTTATAAGAATCTAAAGTAAATCACAAGTAAGTATTAGTTTAAGAAGAGTGCAAATGATATAATATCTATAATAATAGGTTCTAAATATTAATATTATAGTCTGTCTAAAGAGGTAGCTAATATAAAGAAAGACGCAATTCTTATATGCCTAAGTACTTCAGATTAATCCTCACTTAGTATTGTTACGAGGCGGGCGGGCAGGATTAGGAATCTATAATCAATAATACTAATAATAATAAATACAGGGTGTAGATTAAAATATAGTTTGAAGAGTTATAATATAAAATCTTTTAAAGTAAAAATATATAGAGTTTTCAAATATAAATTAATCTGATAGGTTTTAGTTTGCTCATTTATTGATTATATATATTTATATTATAATATTATTCTTTTTCTTTAAATCAAACTTGAATAAAACAATAAGTTATAATTCAAAGTCTTATAGATAGTAGTTTAGATCAAATAGGTTTAGATTTATTAGAATATTTATAATAAAAATTATAAATCAATTTTTATATATCTTTTAAATAGCTGGTGGGTTTTTTAATTAATTTATTATAATTAATCTAGTAGATAATACATTTCAGATAAAATTCTTTATAATCTTTTTTTTCTTAATAAAAGTTTAGAATTTCAATAGCTTCAAAATATTCTAAGCTATTGATTTTTATAAATAATAATAATAGATTATATTATTCAAAAAAAATTGAAAATAATAAATAATTATAATCAAAATGAAAAATCTTATTCAAAATATTTTTTATTATTTTGATGAAGTAAGTATATAATATTAAAATTAAGTCATTTTCAAAATTTTAATATATAATATTTTTCTTATATAAAATAAACAAATTTATATAAAAATTGAAAATTTTCAAGTTTGATTTTTTCAAGTCTCTTTTAAAAAATAAAAATAAAAATTCTGTTTACTTTTCTATAAAATTTAATTGATTAAATAAGGTTTTTTTGAAAAAATTATTTTATGTTTTATTATAATAAATAAATTAAAATATAAAAAGTCGAATAAATTTATATTTTAATTAGAAAAGTGTTATATAATAAATAGATTTTAGAACTTTTATTATATTTATAATTTTAATAGAAAGGGAGCTTTATTAATTAATTAATATAATAATCTTAAATCTTTCAAAAATTAATATATTGAAATCATATAGATATTAGTATTTAAAAAAAAACCTATTTTATTATTAATAAACATTTCAAAAATATTTAATTTAAAAAACGTATTAGTATAAAAACTCTATTTTATTACTTATTCTATTATTTATTTCGTATTTATATTGTTAATATTGATAATAAAATATTTTATTTTATATTAGATGTTTATTTGTATTTAAGAATAAATGTTAGTTATTTCTATTTCTTTATTAATTTTTCAATTACTTTCTTTATTTTGCAATTATTATAATAACTTTCTTATTTTTATTTTGATAAAAATCTTATTATTTGATTTGTTATCAAATTTTTTATAATATTATTTCGAATCTGAAATGATTTATAATTTAAATATATAGGAGTATTATAATTTAAATTTATATTATCAATATTATTATATTAATATCTAGAAAAAAAATATGATATTTTCCTAATTTATCAATTCAAATCTTGGAATATAAATATTATTATAAGTAAATTAGTTTATAATGATAAGAAATAAAAAACTTTATATATTATAAAATGACAGCTTATTATATTCTAAATTAAAAGAAATCTTTTTCAATAATAATTGAATAAATAGAAAACTAAATAGATATTAGAATATTAAAAGAATTCAATTTAATAAAAAAACCATATTATTATTGAAAAAAAAATTATAAAACTTCTATTTGAAATAAAGACTTTTATATTTAAAATTAATAATAAATGAAAATATACTTATCTTCAGATTTATAAATAATATAATTTAAATAATGAATTAATTTTATTTGATATTAAAAAATTTTGATTTTAAGAATAATTTGATATAATTTAATATTAACAATAATTTAATATTAAGGATAATTTCATTTTGAAAATAATTTAATATAATTTAATATTTATAAATAATTTGATTTTAAAATGATTCAATATAATTTGATATTTATAAGTAATTTGATTTTAAAATAATTTAATATAATTTGATTTTAAGAATAATTTAATATTAAAAATAATTTAAAATTAAGAATAATTCAAAATTAAGAATAATTTAATATTAAGAATCATTTCATTTTAAAAATAATTTCATTTTGAAAATAATTTCATTTTGAAAATAATTTCATTTTGAAAATAATTTAATATAATTTGATATTTAAAAATAATTTGATTTTAGAATAATTTGATTTTAAAAACAATTTGATATAATACAATATTTAAGAATAATTTGGTATAATTTGATTTTAAGAACAATTTGATATTTGAGAATAATTTGATATAATTTAATATTTAAGAATAATTTGATTTTAAGAATAATTTGATATTTGAGAATAATTTGATTTTAAGAATAATTTGATTTTAAGAATAATTTGATTTTAAGAATAATTTGATTTTAAGAATAATTTAATTTTGAGAATAATTTAATATTAAGAATAATTTGATTTTAAGAATAATTTAATTTTGAGAATAATTTAATATTAAGAATAATTTGATTTTAAGAATAATTTTATTTGACAGTTAAGAACAGTTTAATATTCAAGAATAATTTAATATAATTTCATATTAAGAATAATTGGATTTTAAGAAGAATTTAATATAATATTTTTAAAATAATTTGATTTTAAGAAAATTTTTTTTTTGAGAATAATTTAATATAATTTGATATTGGAAAATAATTTGATTTTAAGAATAATTTAATATAATTTAATATTAAGAATAATTTAATATAATCTGATATTGAAGAATAATTTGATATTTGAGAATAATTTAATATTAAGAAAAATTTCATTTTAAGAATAATTTGATATTTAAGAATAATTTGATTTTAAGAATTATAGGTTAGTATCGAAAGAGCTATACGTTTAGTATAAATGCTGGGTCTTTATGCTCTCGATGTGGAACGCGGAGATGCTAAACAAGTGTTGTCTCCAGCGCAAGATTGGACAGAGCTTGAAGAACGTCGAAGGACTTTCTGGACGGCATTTTATGGGGATCGATGGGCTAGTGTCCTGACAGGTTGGCCTACTACTATCAATGAGAATGAGGTATAAATTAGGATTTCACACGCAGCTCATGCCACTCTTACCTATGCACGATCATGAACGAGTCTTCGTGGGATCTGATCGTGAACACATCGAAAGGAGCCTCAGGCTTGAACTTGATGTAAAACACAGACAATACAACTGAATACTCAGAAAGTTATATTATTAACCCTAATTACTTTTCAGGGGATCTCGCTCGTAGTCGGCATTAATAATAATTTTATAGAAAGTCTTTATTTGCTCATCACCTCTATACATTTAATTCTAGAATAAATTTCAAATTTCAATATCACATAATATAAAGTAAATTACTCTCATACTCTAAAAACCACACTTATTTTACTCTCGTGCCCTATAGATTCTATAATAGAATCTATTTAACTAAAAGAAAATGAACTTTTTTCTAAAGAAAAAGAAATAATACATTTGTAGAATCTAATCTGAAATAACTAGAATATATTCTCATATTATAGAACCTATCTTCTTCCTATAGAATCAACCCTAAAATAACTGGAATCTATATCCTTCCTATGGAATCTACCCTCCCTTTAGTATAGATTCTGATATAAAATCTATTATATAATCTAAAATCTATAAGAGTAAATTATCTTCCAAGTTTAGGTTATTATAGTAATTTTCCGTATGATTTTTAACACTCGTATTTATGCATTAGACTAGGAGAAGTGTAATTTGCTTAATGGATATTCTGGAATATACAAGTAATTAAGTTCATTCTTATAATAAGATAATGAGCACTAAAAAGGAAACTATGAAGAACCATTCGTAAGAAGCCTGGGCATGGTGATTATCACCTTCAAGGCGCCACATTTGGAAGATAACTCAAATGCCTTGTAGGCGTCGTGGATTTCATCAAATGCGAAATCTGGACAATAATTAGTGGGACCCGGATTAATAGAGTATAACACGCACTGTGTGAGACCAGAAAATGAGGATCAATGCTACCTAACTCCACCATCTTGAGCAAATCGGGTGTACTAACAGCATCAATGAGTCGAGTTCTTAAACCTGTCAAGAAAGTCAGTTGTAATAAAGGTAGGAGAGTTAGATAAGAATACAGATATTGCGATTCCACAGCTTTTCCAGGTGAAGCTCGCACGATTCACCAAAGACACCCAGGCTGGCGATAGTCCCACCAGCGCCTATCAGAGCTTGCGCAATCTCGAAAGATTCGACGGTACCCACGGCTTCGATCACCACATCGAACCCTCGGTCCTTGGTCACCGCTAGAGCAGAAGCAACCACATCATCCTGTCCGTCGAGAACACTGAATGTGTGGTCCGCGCCCATGGACTTGGCCATCTCGAGCCTCGGATTACCCCTTCCCACCATTACCGTCATCGATGGACCGAACAGATTTCTCGTCATTTGGAGGATCATCAATCCAATCGGGCCAGTTCCTATGATCGCGACAGTCGACCCAGGTTGAATATCACCATTCAGGACACCACATTCATAAGAAGTTGGTACGGTATCTGATAGAGTAACAGCGACTTTCAAGTCGATGCTCTCTGGCAGCTCATGTAGCGAGAACAAGGCATGAGGAATGCGGACATACTCAGCCTGTGTGCCATCAATTGTATTTCCAAGAATCCAACCGCCGGATTCACATTGAGACGGCATCTTCCTACGGCAGTAATGACAAGTCCCGCAAGATGTGATGCATGAAATGAGAACCTTCTGGCCAACGGTGAAGTTCCTAACAGCGACACCGAGGGATTCAATAATGCCGACTCCTTCATGACCGAGAATGCGGCCTGGGGTGCATGACGGGACGTGACCTTGGAGAATGTGGAGGTCTGTCCCGCAAATTGTGGTATATAAGACTTTCACGATAGCGTCGGTGGGTTCCAAAATGACTGGTTTTGGGCGGTCTTCGACTGTGACCTTTCTGTCGCCTGTGTGTATGGCAGCTTTCATATTTATTGTCCTTTAAAGCACAGGTTGGCTGTACAACGCCCAGACGATCTTTGAGGAATGGAAGTAGATACTGAGAAGTAGGTTAGAATATCGCTGGGCTCGTATTTATAGATATTTTGCCATGTAGAAGACATGAAGTGTACAAACCCAGCCCAGAAAGCCCCGCGGGGCCCGAATGAGTAGCAGCCACTATTCATTTGGCTGGAATCCAACGTTGTAACTGTCATACGAACAGGTAAAATCAAACAGCAGGGGTAATAACTACCAGTAGTGGGAGTTCGAGCACTACGAGCGGATTCTATGAAAATCTAAGGCTCGTCAGCCCTCAAGTAGGAGTGATTATAAGTGGGGACTCAGCTTGCCATTTTATCGTATAGGACCTGAAGCGGAGAATTTGTCCCCAACGTAACATGGTTATTTTCAAGGCCAACACTCGACCAATCAGACGAAACTTTCCTCTGAGGCCAATTTCAAGTCATCGTAAGTTGGTTAAATATTCCCTTCCCACAGTTTCTGGGTAGTATTTATCAACATGATCACAAATGCTTCGTACAATTTTTTTGGCTTTTAAGGAATCGAATTTGCCTTGGAGTCGGGATAAGGCGAAAGATAGTAAACTTAAGAAGTGGTCATAGTATACCTAGGTAGCCAAGGAAATTATGTTCTGAATGAATTGTCAAAAAGACCAATGAAATGTCTTGGCAGTCAGATTATGTATTAGTCTATCGACACCATACCTCAGTATATAAATGTTTGTATAACTAAACAACTATGATAACTCACAAAGCCTACTACGGCTCGATGAAACATGCACTTAACCTTAATTAAGGAACTTGGCATATGCAAGTGGTGAATTGTGGACTTCCATGAAGAGCCTGGCCCTTTCGCCACATATTATTATGGAGCTGAACAGTTGCAACCGGACGAGGGTATAAACTTCTTTGATATCTATATTCTAATGGTTGGGAAAACAGTTCTAGAGTCAATAATTCGGACCCTAGATATCGCTTTCTCGAGTGTCGGACACAACACTCGGCGTACCTCAGGCGCAGCATGAGAGGAGGGAGATCCATTAATGCAGGTCTATAATTGAGCAACATCACCCTAATTTTAGAATTACATAACTTTCACTGTGTTTTTAATACTAGATTTAACGCTTTGTACACAGCGAGGGGACAGGCACAGTAGAGGTATATGAAGTTATCATGTCGTTGTAACGTTCGTAGCGTGCTTTTTCGAGTCTATTATACGCACTACGAGTTATATTCAACATAAGAATTTCTAGACAAAGTCGGCTCTAGGAAAGGCCGGATATTATATCACGGTTTCAAAATCGTATTATAATTAAATAAGTCAAGTACTCTACTTTCTGACTATTGTTACAAGAGATATTTGAGTATTTGATTAAATACTATTAATTAATTTATCACCTATTCAGACCAGAAAAGAGGGTAAATACATATTAAAGAGAATAAAAAGCTTGATTACATTCCTATTGAAAAATTAAAACTATTTAAGATACTAAAAAGCTAATAAAACTATATTAAAGAGAGTTGTAGTATTTACTCTAGTATCTAGTCTATCTCAAAAAAGACTATATACCCCCATATAGAATTATATAGAAAATCAAATTATCCCCTGAAATTTAAGGCTAATTGCCTCGAAAATGAAACTAGCTTTCAAACTAAGAATTATAATGTATTACTATCCATTTTCCAATCTTCTAGTATATTAAGACCTAAATTGTTTTTTCTATTATATTATTATATTGTATACAATATTCTTATCGAAATTGAAATATATATGATATATAATTAAAGAATTTAAAAGGTAAGTATAAAAAAAGATAACTTTATTCAAATTCGAAAAAAAACATTAAAATAATCTGGATATTCTATACTATAATAGGGTTCCCAGCTAACATTGAATTATTATACATGCTCTAGAGTCTATTAATAGTTTTAATAATATCCTCAAAAATGTAAATTTAAAATGATATCGTAGAGAGTGATTGTAGGTTGACTTGTAATATAAATTTGAAAGATTGAATATTATGTTATTGAAAGAAGGAAGGAGGTTCGAAAGGTGATTCGAATAAGGTCTTTAAAAAAATGATTTCGAAAGAGGTTTAAGAGATTTCGAAAAGTGATATTATTCGAAAGGTATTACAGCCTATAAATTATTAATAAAAATATTACAAAAAACTATAATATATTGTATTGAAAAGAATGAAGCAATTTATAATATTTAAAAGATATTTTTTATAATTAATAGTTTATAATTTGAAAGAAATCAAAAGGAAATTGGAAATCATATTTATTTTATTTCTATATAGATTATTGAAAAAGAGGGTAAATATATATTAAAAAGAATGAAAAGCTTAATTATATTTCTATTAAAAGATTAAAGCTATTTAAGGTACTAGAAAGCTAGTAAAACCATATTAGAGGGGGCTATAGTATTTACTCTGGTATCTAGACCTAAATTATACTACAGTACTAGTCAACTGCTATCAGCCGAAATCCATTTTCATACCAAAAATCGGCTTTTTGCCATATTTTGAAATACAAAATTCTTTATTATTTATAATTCAAATTATCTGAAAATTTATTTTTGGAAAGTTTTTATAATAATGATTGACATTTTCAAAATTTTAAATTTCTTAAAAATTTATATTGTAAAGATTATATGATTGAATCAAAATGTTAAAAAAGTTGTTTGATTTTTGCTTATTTTACTAGTAAATTTGATTTTTTTGAAAATATTTTATTTTCTATTTATATAATTCAATTAATAAAAATCCTAAAAATAATTCGTTTTATTTTTATTATATTTTTATTTAAAATAAATCAATCGATATAAAGAAATATAATATTATCTTATCAATTATAAAGAAATCTATAATTATAAATAATAAGTTTTGGTATAAAAAGGCGTTTGGCTGATAGCAGTTGGCACTAACTGTATATATACTTTTTTAAAAAAAATGAAAAAACTGAAAGTTATTAGCTTTTCTAATAAAAATATTATACAATTGAATTTTAATTTATAAGATTAATTTTGTTTTATTCTATTAAAGAAAATATAAATATATATATATATAAATATATTTTATTAAATTACTTTTTAAGCTTTATTAAAAATATAAAAAGAAAAAAAAGGTATAAAATTTTGAACAAAATAATATAAGATTAATAATTCTTTTTTATTGAAAAAAAAATTATTTTAATATAAAAAGTATTATCAAAATAAAAAGTATTTTATTATGAAATATTTTATCAATAAAAATATTAAAATATAAAAATAGTTTTTTAATAAAAAAAATTAATTAGAGGAAAATTTTGATAAAAGAATATTTTAATAAATAAAAATTATTATAAAAAAACAAAAAAATTATATTAAAAATATTATATTGAAAAAAAATTATGTTGAAAAAAAAATTATATTAAAAAAATTATATTAAAAAAATTATATTAAAAAAATTATATTAAAAAAATTATATTAAAAAAATTATATTAAAAAAATTATATTAAAAAATTTATATTAAATTTTTTTTTGTAAAAAAGCAATTTATTAAAAAAAAATTATAAAAAAAAATTTAATTAAAGAAATTATTATATAAAAAAATATTTTATTAAAAGAAATATTTTATAAAACGACATTTTATTAAGAAAATATTTTATTAGAAAAAGAACATTTTATTAGGAGAAAACTTATTAAAAGGAAATATTTTATTGAGAAATTATTTTATTAGGAAATCCTTTTATTAGGAAAATATTTTATTAAAGAATAATATTTTATTAGAAAAATGTATTTTCATGCTTAAAAGTCGTACAACAACCGTCCGCAGTTGACTCATTGCCCGCTATTTACTCAAAAAGAGTCCCAATTTTCTCGACAAATGATAATTATGGCCGGAAGCCGTTCGAGCCTTATGTAAAGCAAAGGAAATGCTCGTAGAGCGGTATTCCGTACTAGGCAATAACACGAGCTGTGCATCGGGCATTTGGAGACTCTCACCCGGCCAGGCACGTCTCATTATCAAAGAACTACCTCTGACTTTCGAGGAATTTGAGAATGGGAATTTCTCATCCAAGCTTTTCAAACATGATGAGCTGAGTTCCGTTGTTCAGATGGTGAACTTTGAAAATGACTGGGATTGTTGTAAGATTCAGGCCAATTTTATCAAAGGTGGTCTTTTGCTATGCATATCGATTTTGCACATTGCTATGGATGGTACAGCTATTGCACGGGTTATAGCAGATTTGGCATATTATACTTATGATAATCGTGGACCAGTAGTGAAGAAGAGTCCAGCTGCGTTGGATCGCTCTCAACTTTGGTTTGGTGACCCTAGAGTGCCCGATAACAATATTTAGAAGTGATAAATTGGAGGTTCTTCCTTCAAAATATGCAAAAATCAATCAGTGTCTGCAGTGGAATTTTGACATCTCAGGTATTTGGATTGGCGCTACTGACATGCCTGGGGGGGGGCCTTGTAGATTTTTGCGCTGCTCAAGTCAAATCTTTAGGTTAATTGATTATCAAGACTATTTATCGCTAAATGACCTGCTCTTTGCGCAACTGTAAAAGTTCCTCGACAAAGACAATTGCAGAGGTCTCAAGAGGGTACAATTGGGACTAGGCTATGTAGATAAAATCACGATCACAGATCCTTTAGAAGCGGCTGCAATGGTTGAACAGATCCCGTGGTCAGCTTTGGACAGAATCCTTGATTGAGGGCAGGATTCCTGATCAATATTATGGAGTGATGAGCAACTTCGTATAAATAAATGCAAATGACGATTATCATCGATAACTCTGTTTCGGAATCAGAGGCTCTTTCATAGGCGACGAATCAAAACGGACCCTAGGTGTAACTTTCACTCTATATTGTGGAAAAGCGAAATGCTGCAAAGTTCAATTCTTTTTAAATTTCTTTCCCATAAAAATCCACAAGTTCAGTGATCAATCCTAAGCCAGGTACAAATGCTGTCACTTTACCTCATTCAAAGGAGTCATAGTATCTCACATTGAACTTTCCATCGGTGCTTTGGACCACACGAGCATGGAATTTACCCAATCCTGGCCCGCTACTAAAGTCAATGGTAGCACCATCTCTAGAAACAGCAGCGTAGTCAGCTATTTCGCCTGGCACCTGCTGGCTTTCCGCGACGAAAAATTTCATTTTCGGGGCAATTTGTATTTTCTCGTTGTTGCTTGGAGCAATCTGGTTGACGAAAACTCATCAGTTCATGAAAATTTACAGGATAAACAAATAGATAAACATACTGATGCAACTGGAGCAACCTGCCCTCGATTATTGACTTTGGCGAGCCCGACCAGATATGTATCATTAGGCATAGAAAAGTCACTACCAGTCCGAATTTCATATGCAGCATCAACAGCGGACGAAGGGACTTCCATCATTGTAGGGAACGATTCAATAATATTCAAATCAAAAGTACCTATGCGTAGAGAGGGGCGTTAGTTAACATTTAACGTACATATTATTACCCGCCTCTGAGGGAAAATCAGGCTCATACTTCCGGGGTTAACATTAGAGCCAAGTCGAGCAAGCAGGCTCATGCCAGAGTTGACTATCAACCCTGGCGAAGGTGTAGTGGGCACAGTTCCAACCCCTGGGAGGACATTCATTAGCTTCAATAATAAGCATATAACACATACTGCTTGGTAAAGAACTGCTACTTACAAGCATAGAAGTCGTCTCCGGTGCTGATTTCGAAGTTTCCCATATAAGGGACGAATGATGTATACCAGACATTCATCCAAGGCTTCCCACCGCCAGTGAACTGAGGCGGTTCCATGAAGACTGCATACGTAGTATTCTGACCACGCTCATTTTCAACTGCAATAGTGTAGGAAGAACTCATTTTGCTAGAAACCAATTGTGCTCTGTAACGGAGAGCTACACGAAATTTATGACTTTGTCAAGATAAGCAAAGGAATTTTAATGGAAATCTAATGACTGATGGTGGGTGTACGACAGCTATTTAAGCAGAAATGTATCTAGCTCCTGGGTGATTCCCATTCAGATAGTCGTACAGCTGACATGTAGATGCAATCCATAATAGACACAGATTGACCAGAGAATATACATAAAATCTTCTAAGAATCTCCGGACAATTTGTTGCTTACTCAGGAGCTAAACTCTTCTCCATCTTGTATCACTGATTAAAGTAACAATCTTCACCTACAAAGCAGGCTATCGTTACCCCAGAGCTGGACTTCCAGAGCTGAGAAGTGAGACATGCAGGAGGAGGTTCAAACAAGTAGAGACTGACTCGAGACTGAGACACTGACATATTTTCGATTGATGCGTTGTTCTGCTCGCACGGCCCGGGAGCCTCTCCGACCCCCGTAAGCTCCACCATCTACCAAATGTAGCCAGGCTCGAGCCAGCTCAATCGTGAATCGGAGTTGTCAGCCTAATGGTATCTGATCTTTCAGCTCTATGTATTCCTCTATCAATTAGTATAAGCTCTATCATCTTGTTTCGCTCTTTCAGAAGAATAGCACTACTTCAGCTAGATCCAGCTGGTTAAATCACGCCGTTTCTCCTCTTGTGTCTTGTTCGAGACCAACCGAGTCAGAATTTATCAGCCCTTATCACTAATACATATAAGATTTATAAACATATTAATCCTTACGATGAAAAATCTTACAGCTCTCGTCTAGATTAATAAAGTTGATGGTTGAGAAATGAGGGGTAGCGAGACAGAGGGGCGATCAGCTAAAGAGACTTTTGCCAACATGTGGAGCATGAGTAATTATAATTGATCATGATACGCTGTTTTCGGGCTAAAGATTTTGTGCATACTAATGCATCCAAGATTTTACAGAGACAGGGCTACTTCACATTCCAAGATATCATTCTATCTGATGAAGTTTAAAATAACTCTTCATTCCCAGTCCAGACTCACTTTAGTGAACGATTGATTATCAATAGTCCAGTCATGTCGTACCTTCTTACACTTCTATCATGTATCTATTTCATTTCCGATATCACGCATGATACGCCATTCAGCTCACCTGCTCAATATGAATAGTATAGCTTCTGGAAAATACTATAAATATAATATAATATAATCTAATTGATTTTTTATAATCTATTTATCAGATTTTTTTATAAAATAAGATATCGAATTTATATAAGGAAATATATAAAAGAATTAAAACTAAAAAACTAATTTTTTATTTCAAAATTTCAAATCTTTAATATAATATTAATAACTTTCTTTTTTTTGTTTTTCTTTTTTATATAATCAATAAAGATTTTTTTAGCTTTATCCTATAAATATATATAAATACTATTATTTATTAAATCCAAATTACTAGTATTGCTTTTAATATATTTATATCAATATATAATAAATCCATAAATTATTATATTATATTTTAATAAATACCTTAATATATTAATTTAAATAAACTATCTACTTTCTTTATTTAAAATTTAATTAATAATATTAATATAATTCTCAATATCCTTTAATTCCCCATTTAATTGATTATCAAAAACACTAATTAAAATTATATTAAATAATCCATTTAGTTTAAATATTATAATAATAATAAATAAATTTAATAAATATAAAGTATATTAAAAATCTATATTGCGATAGGATATAAATAATTTTGAATATAATAATAATCAAGCTTACTTGTTTTTAATATTTTAAATTGAATCTAGCAAATACTTTAAAATAATTAAATAGAAAATTATAAGAATCAAGTAATATACTATATTTGTAAATTATATTCTAATATTGAGATTTTTATTATAATTTAATTAATAAAAAAAATAAAAAAAAATAAAGAAATTAGTTTTCAAATAATAATTAAATATTAAGCTAAATAATTATTTGATTATTAGGGTTAGGGTTAGGGTAGGGTTAGGGTTAGGGTTTGGTTAGGGTTAGGGTTAGGGTTAGGGTTAGGGTTAGGGTTAGGGTTAGGGGTTAGGGTTAGGGTTAGGTTAGGGTTAGGGTTAGG